ACGATAACCTCTAGCATGCTTTATTTTGGGGTAAAGATACATTGTGTAAGTCATATGATGAGAAAAAACTGCAGTTATCAAAATTTCAAGATGTTTGTAGATACATGTATATCATTTTTATTACCGTGTGCCATCAATTTTATGTTATACCCATACACAGGTATCATCATCATTGATGAGATACCAGCTAGTCCTGTAAACTACTGGATAAAAGAATTAAATCTTCAGGAAAATGATTGTTTACAGCTAGAAGGAACCCATCACCTTTCAGACAAGCATGTCATAGCTACTGCTAAACTACTGTCAAAACAATTCCCAGACATGCCAATGATTCAGTCGTCTTTGTATACTCAGAAACTAAGTCTCATTCAGCTGGCTACAAATGATTCATTATTTTTCCACAACTTTGGGGACCATTGGGTTACTAGTCATTTTATGGATGGCATTGCTTTTCTTAATGACTCCTTCTACACAGAGATCATTCAGTCAGAGTTAAAGAAGCAGCTCATTGCCCTCTATGGATCTGCTATGGTAAAAGTACAGTGGTTGGTGAAGCAAAAGGTGATAAGGATTGTGCCTGCTGTGCAGTAGCATACGCAGTATCTATTCTTTATGGAAATGATCCTGCTAACAATATATTCGATCAGTCACACATGAGACAACACATGATTGAATGTCTCAAAAACATATTTTACATGCCATTCCCATCTATGACATGAAAATCAAGATGCAATGTATCAGAATATGTTACCCAACTACATTGATTATTACAAACAAGTTAACAAATGTATGATATTTAATGTTATATTGGTCTATGTAGCTAATTATACTTGCAAAATGCATGGTGGAATGCTAAAGGTGACCAAATAAATGTTGCGTAGCTATCCCATATAGCAGGAAATTTTGGAGGGAGTTGAATTCGGCAAATTACTATATTTTGGGAATTGGCAAATTTTAATTTGGCAAATTTGTGGTCACATACCATTGAGCATGCATATAATGGCTTGAAATGGTGGATTTTATTTTGGAGTTTTGCTATCAAAATGCCAAGTTCACCAACTTCAATTCCCTCCAAAATTTTCCACTACAGTATGTGAGGGAAAGAAAGTGCTGTTACATTATGAAAAAAAGTGCAGAAGGCACAAATTCTTCCCCATAGTATTATAGAGACAAAATAGTGTAGCAAGCATTAATTCTTCCCTTAAGTATTGTAGGAACAAAATAGTGCAATTCTTCCCTATAGTATTGTAAGGACAAAATAGTGCTTGGTACTAATTTCTGCCTACATAGATAGCTCAAATTGTATATGTGTATAATAGTTCCTAGTGACACCATTATGTAGGAAGGAATTAGTGCATTTGAACACTATTTCCTCCCTCTATAATCATGGTTTTTAAATTTAGTGACATACTCTACCAATCGTAAAAAACAGAAATACCCCAAGTTACACAAAAGCTTCAAAAACATTTGCAAAACAGCTGATGGCAATTAGATATACAAGTATAAAACAACCAAAGACTTAGCTGTAGCAACAAGTGAAGTGATGCTACAAGTTACAAAAAGTCTATCCATTCAGGAGTCATGCAATAAGTAAAATAGCTGTTTGGCTTGCTATTAATAGTACTACTTCATCTCATAACAAGACATTTCCTTCAATTCCACTTAACACAAACTGAAATACGTACTTTGTAAAGTTGCTCATTTACAGTAAGTAAGTGATGGCAGAGTCCGTCTTGCATGAGAACTCTCAGTGATTTAATGTCCCCAAGTCTCTTCACGCCACACTCCAACATAACAGTCACCAAATCCAACACAATGCATATCACTCGTGTGTCATTCCTTTATGGAGGAAAGGAAGGGAGAGAAAAGAGAGAAGATTTTATGATTAAATGAGATCAATGGGCACACAGCAATTTACCCAAATTAAGCACTCCAAACTATCTACATTGTACAACATACATGTACATGTACATGTAGCTACGTAAAATAATAATGAATATCATCATTACCTGCCACGAGTCTCTGTGAACAACAAGAGCTAATGAGAGCATCTGTAATGAGAGAGAGAGAGACAGAGAGGAGACAAGAGTATTAGGAAAAGTGAGAAGTGTTGTGGTGAATTGCATGTGAATGTGACACAAAGGAAGTGCCATTAAGTAATAATGTCAATGAACAGCAAATTTATTTCAAGCAAGATGTGATAAATTTCACCAAATTATAAAATAATGGATTCCACAAGTTTCACTAAGAGGAATTGTTATTCATATATATTACTATTAAAACAATAAGTAAAACAATGTACTGAAACGGCACAAGTTCTTATACAAGTAAAAGGCCAGGGTCAGGGTTGAGTAATCAATATCAATTGCAGCATATGTATGTATAAATTAGCAGTCATAGACATTAGTACATGTACATTACACAGAGATAATGTGACAGCATGGAATATGCGTGAGCCACATTGTGATGCTATTAAATCAGAGCTAAGGCAAGCCTAAAAGCATGACTTGTTGCATTAATCATTAATTTTGGTACATAACATACACATGCAAGGTAAAAGAAGAATGAAACGTACAGTTAAGTCAACTCCAATTACATTCATATATTCACCTTTCACGCCCGCATTGGCAAATAAAAATTTCAATGATAAAAAAATTGTAATGAGGCTACCTGCCCTCTCCGCCAGTGAAACAGATCAAATTGGAGTAGGCTAATAAACTGGCAATGCTGATAAGCAATAAAATATCTGGAGATTGGGGGTTTTACATGTACATTAAGATTAAGAGTCATATCACTACTTCACAGATGATATTAGACAACTTATATAGCAAAACTTGTGTTTGAACTACATTTCAACACTAAACCAATATCATTATCAAATACTAATATAGTACTATAAGCTACTACTTCGTACTAACAAGCATACATTCACAAACATGTACGTTATCAGAAAACCAACTCAAAATTTTTGTTGCAAGTTATAATAATTGTAGTCAAAGGTAAATTAGTAGTGAATTTGTAAAATGGGTCTGAATAGGCAAAAGCATCCTCAAAATGCCATCATTGCCATGTACAGTTAAGTACATGCACACAAAGATATTATGCAAGAACTTGACAGCCTAGGCAAGCTTAGAGCTGTTAAAATGAAGTGTTGCATGTTGGTTAGTAACAGGCCTTTGCTTGCATAGCCAAAAATTATAAAAGGGACTGATAGCAAAGGCAAGAACTATAAAACTGAGCAAAGTTGATATGGATATCAGCAAAATAATAAGTAAGAACTTTCTTAATGCTTTTCATATTTCAGTGCTTGTTCTTAGTAAAAATTAACTAAACCTAAAACAATTTTGACCTACATGTAGCTTACTAAAATAATAAATGTATGGTAAACTAAGAATATTTGCTTAGTTTCAGTAAACTGTGTACAGTCACAGTTTCAGTGGATAATGACTTTTCCAAACCTAATGCTAAAACTGTCACTAAATACTATTAATACTATTTCATTTTCTAGATATCATACGTGTATAATTATGTGTAGCGAGCTACATACGGCTGATAATTAAAGTAAATAGTTGAACATGCATTTTGTCTTATTTTATGATGGATATTTTCATAGTACATCCAAAAGAAAAGGCTTCGAAAGCCATCGTATGTACATATTGTTTGATAAACCGTAAATAATGATTAAGAAACAATATTCTACATGTACAATAATTATCATTGTAAAATAGATCATCATTAATACTACTAATAATATCAATAGCACTATTATTATAATGCACTGTACCGCAGATAAAAATGAAACGACAATTACTACTAGTAACCACATATACATATACAGTACAAACAGAAAAAGAGTTCATCGGCTTGGGAAGTAAGAAAGGGAGACAAAAAAAACAGTTACATAATGGACCTAGCCACCTCAATAAGGAAGGAAAGGAATAGTTACTTATTTCTCAAAAGCACACACATAGGTTACATGTAATACTGGTTACATGTATTACAATCTTATCAACACTTACCATGCATGATTTCCATTTCGCTTTTTTGGCACTCTGTCGCTTAAGTGACACAAATGAACAAAACACTCATTTAGACCTTTTCAGTCCTCCATTGTACCTCTAGGCGTGGCTAATTGCAATTGAATATCATTCTGATTCATTTGTGTGATTTTAACTCTGTCTGATATCTCTGGTCTGATATATTGCTGTTATACAAAGAAGATACTGGATGTAATGCTACATTAATGAATCTTCACTCTGAGTGTAACAGTGCTGTTTGCACTGGTGTATCATGATTTTATGAAGATGGCTGCCAGTCACATGGAGGGAACCGGAATTGCTTTTCTTGAGTTTTCTAAGGCTTACGAAGGTAATAGCGAAGTTGCAGCCTATTCTGACAGTATAACAGATGAGTATATAGGCTGTTATAAAGTTGGGAAAAGGACAATTTCTGAAGATTGCCATTTCAGTGGTCATTTTTGCGTGAAACAAATTATACAAGCAGTGAGTCAGCCTATTTTTAACATCTGATTATGATGCTTTTGCTTGAATTATTCAGATAGGCATGATAATTTTGTGGATGGTGTCACTGTGGTTGCCGCCATGTTTTGTAGTTCGATTTGCTCAATTGAAGGTACATATGTAGTAACTATCATAAGAATGTGACACTGAAAAGTATTCATTACATTAGGATCTTTCAAAGGATGCTGTATTAATATTGCGAATTAATGTAAAACAGCAATTTTGGTGGTGCATTATTGGTATGTTTTGCTTTATATTTTCTGTAGGGTTCTGTACTCATTTTGATAACTGAGCTGTGTGTGGCATGATTACCTCTTACTTATAATGAACAGTAATGTATTGATATTATTTTGAAAGGAAAGCCCCCTGAGCTAACTGCACAAGATTTTTGACTGGAAATATGTCCATCAGAAATGACAAGTTTTGTGTAAGTTGCTATCAAATTCTGCTAAATAATGCATGCCTGTAAGTATAATACTGTACTGCTGAAAAGTTGTCAAAGGATTGTCTTCCATAACTTCCTACATCTTATATTTAAACTTTGCTACAAGACAGAAAGAGAGAATGAGAGGCTGAGAGAGCGAGAAGTAAGATATCGATCCGGAGATTTAAATTTGTCATTGTGTCATGAGAAATAAATTTAAGGAACTAAAATAGGAGTGAAGTCTCAGTAATGAATAATGATTAGCCTAGGAATGAATAATTAATGATTCAAATTTTTAAAATAGTAATTATAAAATTGTCTATATTGTTCTAATGGCTTTTATTTCAAAAATTCTTTTCTTCCAATAATGAACCGATAAACTTATAAACCTAAAAATGGATGTCAAATTTAATACTATCAATAAAAAGAATTCTAAATAATTAGTATTTCAATTAATAATAATAGAAGAGTTAATTAAATTTGTCTCTAAATAGTGAAATAAGTTTATTGACATAATAGGTGTTTAGTTTTAATGGTTGAATCCATCTCTGAATGGAATTTACAGTTGAGTCCTTGTGTTTGTGTGGGTTTAATGGTTGAATCCGTGTCTGAATGGATTATGCATGAAGGGAATTGAATCCTGTTGTCTTAAATTCATTCCAATTATTGTACATTTATATAGCATAATGCATGCAAGCTACTATTTGATGTGTTTTAGTACGTGCAAGTGTCTTACATCATGTGATTGTGAAACATGGAGTTGAGCAACAACTGACAGTGATCTGTCCATTTAGTTATCCTGTACCGTGGCGGCCCTGTTCACTCGAACTGGGAAGTCTTGGTTTCTCTGTGAGGACACGCATCATTTTACTTGATGTGTGCGGGTGGACATGCTGTTTGGAGGAATGTGGGTGTTCTTTAAAGCCAGCCCTGCATCACTGTGAAGGTCAGGCTGGCTATGTCGTAAAATGTCATGCTAGTAAGTCACAATTGTTATATAAATGTAGTGGTAGTGTTGCATTGGATAGTATTAATTTTTAGATGTTATGTGTCCCCCACTACAAGCCTACCATAGTGATTCTCCAGCCGCTTTCACGTTTACCGTACTGATATTGCATGAGTTCGTAATGCATGCAGGAGTGTGTGAGTGAGGGTTTGTTAATGTCATTGTACTGTAATATTAAATCTCTAATTGGGTGTGTGTATTGTATGATTGCACTGGCATATTTTGTGAAATTGCCATTTGTTATAAGGACACTTCTTTTTTCTAAACAGGATGAATTATTCTCTCATGAGTTAGGCTACTATGTATGATGGAACTAATTGGCGACAGCTAATAAAACAAGTGATGAAGTTGTGGCTTGAATGAGTATAGAGCCAAAGAACATGTACGCATGTAAGGAATTAATAGAATTTATCAATGCCAGACTGCCTAGCCTACTGTTTACCATTTTCATGGTCTCTCTCTCTCTCTCTGGCTTTATCTCTGTATAGTGTACATACATGTAACTTTGAGTGATCTGTTATTTTTTCACTCATATCAAGCCTGAAGGTAAAATTTTATATTGCATTTCCTCTCATTCTTTTTGTATTTTCTTCTTGTCTCTTCTCATCTCGCCTCTCCTCTATTGAAACTTATTTAAAGATGATGAAGCAGTGACCAACAAAATATATTTACTTTTGGCAGTACGTAAGATCAGTGGTGGTATCAATGTTCTTGTTATTATAGTTTTAATGCATGGTTTGTATATTAATTGTTATTGTTCTTCTTTTTCTTCCACTCTCCATTATCCCCTTGTACTATATAGCAGGGTTACGTCTTGACTACGTGGTTGGTGGTGGAAGGTTTTTGACATAATTGATGGGTTAAATTTTGGCGATTTTATTATGTCTTATCTTTTACTTGTCAATGATCACAACATGTAAGGAACAATAATGCTTGTAACAGTGATGCTCTCTCTCTTTCTGTCTTTTCTTCCCTTTCTCTTTCATGGAAATTTAAAAGGTTATTGG